TTCCATTGCTAGTCATAGCATCCGAAAGAGAATGATGTTTAGGCTTCTTAATAATAGTAGCATCATGTTGTTTCCTAGGCTTCTTAGCCTTTACAGTACCGCCATCACTTATCCTAGAATCTACTCTAGGTCCCGTTATATAATTTACCCTAAATGAAGGGTTCCGAACATAGGCTTTATTCCGTCCAGACAATCCTGCCTGGGCCTTATTCATATTTACTGAACTCACTAACCTCTGTTTACTCGAATCCAAATAACCGTTCCAGGCTTTTCGAGCAGCTAAGAGGCTTTTATCATCACACACTTCGGATCCATCTTGATGCCTACACTTTTCACCTTTTTCTTTCTTTTCCATACTTAGAAAAGCCATCTTATCTGTTACACCAACCGGCTTCTTACTGGGATACGCATCAAGAGGTTTTACATCGTCACGGTCACATACTCGTCCTTCAACAGCGTATACTTTCGTGATATAATTGACAACTCTCTTATCTTCCGGGCGTGCGTTAGGTAGAAACGAAAAATCCTCATGTCTCGCACGCAGACCACTAGTAGCTTCCGTATTATGTCCTGTTTTAGCCCGATAAGCTAATCTTCCGAACCTACTACTAGCTATCTTAGCACGAGACATAATAAATTCCGTCAACTCATTGAAATTAGGCTCTCTCTCCTCTTCGTCCCACTTGATTCCCAGCTCTGCCCACTGGGCTTGCATTCGACGAGGTAAGAGCCTGACTATTCGTTCTAAAGTAACCAGGGAATGAAGTTCCGTTGTACAATTTAGCTGTTCTAAGGTTAAAGCAGCATTCTGCATTTTAATAGCCAAATTCGTCAACTCTTCAGGATCATTAAAATCTGCATTCCCGGTTCTAAATAAGTCCTCTAAGGTTTCCCGGGCTATTACATGCGACTGTCCAAAGAGCTGTTTTAAGATGGCCTTAGCTCTCTTATATCCCGCTTGTGGATCCATTATAATACAACCTTCAATCGCATTTTTTGCCCTTCCTTTACAATAGTGAATTAAATACAATAAACGCAAATTTTCATCTTTTATTCTTGGTTCTATAAACGTTTCTATTTGGCGCATAAATCTAAAGTAGTCGCGAGACTTTCCATCAAAAAATGAAAGTTCGACCTTAGGTAGTTCTAAACCTACTATCGGTGTCTTAAGTATCTGATCCGTCTCTGGTACCTTAGAACTCTCACTTTAGCCTTGTTCCTTAATGCTTGCCAAAGGTGACTTACAATAATAAGTATCAGACATAACATCGTTATTAACAATGTGGTTACCCATTAAACAAGTATCATTAACGACTTGCCTAGCGTTTCGTGGTCCTTCAAGCTCTTCCACCCTCCTCGTGTTTGTTTTCTTGTGGTGGATCATTTTTAAGTGAAGTCCAACGGAAGATAAATAACAAATACAAAATATAGGAAGTCCACAGGTAATAATTATCCAAAATCAGAAAATCGTCTTCCAAAATACAGTTCGAATACAAAAATACGATAAGTAATCCAAGATTCTTCTTTCAAAAAAGTTAGTGTTATAAACGATTAAATTTCCAAATGTTTTTTTATTCTTCTTATTAATCCAACCGTAATTGGTCTTCTAATCAAAAGTCGAGCCACAATTCCGGACTATAAATGTTCTTAGGACCAATTCCAGACTATAAATGGATTTCTACCGCAGCGGTTCAAATGGTTTCCAATAAGTGCAATCCGAACGCGTATCTCGCAATTCAAAGTCCAGAAAACACAACAATTCTAGGAGAAAACGGTCTGTATTATATTAAAGGATGGAAATACAAAGCAATACCTGGAATTGATGCACCTTCCAGGTTACAATTACTCCGAAGAGTATCCAAGACAAAGATGAATAAGTGACGTTAAGTCCAACAGCTACCGTATCAATCCAAATATGGCTGTAGCCATATTAAAGATCAAATTTAAGCAACATATATACAGTTCAGAAGCAAACACAAAAACTTCAATATAAGTACAAAATATAGAAATAATAACAATATACAATGATAAAATCTCAAACTGGAATCAAATAAAATACCAAAAATGTCAACAGAAAGAGTCCGTCATGTCATAACAAAAATATGTAAACATGGAGGGATTTTCCAAAAACCAAAACATTCAAAAAGGATTCTACACTATATCACCGTCTTCCCACCACAATAGTCGGAACGCTCCCCTATCCCGTCTCGGGATCTTTGCTTGAAGGAAATACAAGCTCCAATAGCCGTTCTGGCATTTCCTTTACAATAGTATGACAAACATGACAACAACTGGCACTTGTCAGACAATTTACTCTCTATAACGCTTGTAAACTGACTAATAAAACGGTGGTACTGGCTTGGTTTTCCGTCAAAAAACATCATATCGATCTTTGGCAAAACCGTATTATTACCCGTAGCACGTAACGTATCCTTCAATTCATCATTCCAACCGCGTTTTGAGGTGTTAAATACCTCCACGGAATGCTTATTACGCGTAATGTCACAATCCAAGTAACTTTCCACCTTGGCATTTATCTCAGGTTTGTCTATTGACATTTGGTTATCGTTTTCTATGACCTTACATTCTAACTCGTCCATATCAATCTCCTCTTGAAGATCTAACATTTTAAGCTGCCTTTCTAACTCAAGTCTCCTTTTCCAATTCTTCTTCTTTAGTAATGCCTTATCTAACCTCAATCTAGAAGTATTAAACTGAGCTGAGAACTTACTATCAACACTAATATCGTCACGTTTATCATCATTATTATCAGACATACCACAGACAGCTTTAGAATCTTATCCATCCATTTCGTCATTTTCCTTTTGGCTTTTTGCTTCTGGTTTCCATTCTATGCCTTGTTTGCTTTATCAAGCAAATGTAAAATTAAACCAAACCAATTCGACCAATTATAACAAAAATTGGACCCAAATTATCCAGACGTATCCAATGTATGCAAAAGAAACAAAAATTGAAGAACTTCTGTTACGTCCAAGTTTTGCTCCTTCCCGTTATTGAAGTACAGTATGTCGATCTAGTTGCAATTCACGAACCCAAATTAACAACAGAACCAAACTCCAAAGTTAGGTACCAAAGTTGATTCGCAATTCACAAATAGTCGACCAAAATGTCGTTCTAACAACAATAATTATAATGACTACGAAAACCTTCAATGTTATAGGTTCCTGGAGCGAAAACTCCCAATTAGTAAACCAAGACAAACAGAAATCAAAAATTCAATTTTACGAGATACTGATACAGATGCTCATCAAAGTATTTTACGATTCTAATAGGAGACCTAAATGCCAAGTTTCGCATGGACAACACTGGATATGAAGACATCATGGGACGACATGGACTGGGAGAAAGTAACGAAAACGGTGAGATATTTGCAAGCCAATGTGCCTTCAACAAACGGGTCATCGGTGGCACAATATTCCCGCACAGACGCATACACAAAGCTACATGGACTTAACCGGACCACACTACTCAGAACCAAATCGACCATATCTGTATCAAAAAAAGTTCAGAAGGACCATGGAGGATGTGAGAATCAAGAGAGGAGCTGATATAGCCTCAGGTCACCACTTGCTGGTCGCCAAAATGAAACTGAAGCTGAAGAAGTTCTGGACAACGGGGTAGACAACATCACAGGAATTTGTTGCAGCCTTTCTTCGGGCTACTGTAAAGCTCGGCGAATTCAGGATAGCCCTTACCAATAGTTTCCAGGCCTTTCAGAATCTACTCGGGGGAGAAGAAGCAACATTGGAGAACAATTGGAAAGGGTTTAGGGAGGCAATTACTTCAACATGTCACGAAGTTCTGGGTCACATTATGGAATGGATCTCTGTTGATAATCATGCAAAAATTGAAGAAAGAAGGAACAAGAAAGCAAAAATCAATGTCAGCCGAACTATGGCAGAGAATGTTACCGCACAAGCTGTATACACAGAAGGAAACAGGAAAGTGAAGTGGAGCATCAGGCTGACAAACGAATATGTGTGGAAGAGAACAGTTGGAAAGGGATTAAGGAGGCAATCACTTCAACAAGTCACGAAGTTCTGGGTCACAAGAAGTACCAACATAAGGAATGGATCTGTGTTGATACTCTTGAAAAAACTGAAGAAACGAGGAACAAGAAGGCAGCAATCAATGTCAGACGAACAAGAGCAGAAACAGTAACCGCTCAAGCTGCATACACAGAAGCGAACAGAGAAGGGAAGAAGAGCATCAGAGCTGACAAACGGAAATATGTGGAAGACCTAGCAATGACTGCGGAAAAGGCTGCAAGAGACGGAAACTCGAGACGATTGTACGATACAAAAATAAACTCTCTTGAAACCATCGGAAGCCAGAACTAACAATAAATTCAAAGGTAGATAGTTCATAAAAATACTAGAACTGAAGAGATGAGAACAGCTCCTTCTGGACTTGATAAAAACGTTGAATACTTCCTTCAAGACATATTATCCTGCTAAAGTAGAGAAACGTACCAAAATAGGAAGTTGTTTGCCTAGTTGTTCATCCTGGCAGACTTGTTTCGTTGCGATGACCTTGAACAATGAGAATCCACACGCCAAACCATTAAACTAAATCGACGGAAGTCTATATATTCTATATAATGCACGAAATTTAACATGTAAGGATCGTGATAAATGGTAATTCTATATGGAATACACATCAAATTTTAGCGTACAAAGAACACTGGGAAATTTTCAGAAGATTGGCGCTCAAACGTCATTGGCAAACATCCAGCTCAGAGAGAATGAAACTCCTCCACAATAGGCCAACTATGAGTTATTGAATTCACAGTTATTTCATTGTGAGAGAAGGATTTTTTCAAATTACTTTTTTAAATGGATGAGAGATATTATCATACAATCAGCTGACTTGTTTGAATCAATCCATCCGAATGTAACAGTAAAAAATACTCAACTCCACTGGTCACATTAGAAATGTTTATTGTTAGAAAATAAGTGCAGAACTACACTACAACAGTGACAGTTTACAAAATCATGGACATGTATAAATAAATGTTGTCAGACAAACATACAAACACACACACACAGACACGCATCGATGATCGCTGTGTTTGTTTAAAGAATACATTTATCCACAGGATTCATTTCCGAACCAAGAGGACATTGATATGTTTTCGAAAATTCCTCACTATGTTTCAGAATTTCATTCAAACTGAAAACAAAGGAAAATTAAACTGAATAATCCATAATGAGATAATATGATGCACTGGTGTAATATTTCATCTATAATCATACTACAAGAATGCTAACTGCAACAGAGTTAAAGTCAATGATTGTAAACTAAACATTTTTATGTGTATTGATCGATGCTCACAACTACAAGTACACTCTTTTCCCTATGGTTATCGATAGTGGATCTTTGTCATATTGAGCTTACTACATTGTAAACATGAAAAGATATTATATATGCTAGTGGTGATCAGTATTTCTCAGTCGACAGTTGGTCATCCGTATTTCAAACGGAAAACATGATTACATTTTTAAATAAACTAATAGATTTACAAAGAGACTACCTGAATTTATAGTTTTCATCACGTGAATTTGACATGTGCTGAATGAAATCATGAGAGTAGCCATTACACATTGTCTTCAATTATAAAAAGAATAAAAAAAATTGAAGAGAATCATGAAAATTCAACTGATGCATAAAAACAATATTTCGGTAAAGTTCTATGTATATCTACCTATTGATAGCAAAAAGCTGTTCACCTTTCTAGAGTTGAAATCGGCTTTTCACCTTAAATTTCAGGTGGTAATATTTTACAGACTAATAACAATTCCATTCACTATGACATCGAAATTCAATATACAAATGTCTAACTTGTAGCTACTTGTAATTCAAATGTTTGAATTATCTCAAAAACACTTATGATGCAAGAAGTTGGTGTAGTGACGATAAAATCGAGAGAGGCTGTCTCACATCACGTTGATTTACATATTTAGATTGATGATAAGTAGAATGAAGACACACACGTCAAATAACTACCATTTTGTCCGTTTGTTTTTCAAGCTGACAACTGTCTTCTCTCTGTTTTCACTCTCATCCTGCTTACAGCTGACATCAACTGCAACAATCCAAGTATTTATTAACAGTTGCATACGCAAAATACTTAGTATTCGTTGGCCAAACACCATCAGCAAGAACCTATTGTAGAAGAGAACAAACCAGATTCTATCGTAGGATGAAATTAGGAAGAAGCGGTGGAAGTCGGTAGGCCACACACGGAGAAAAACGCCTAACCGCGTCACAAGACAAGCCCTCACCTGGAACCGTCAAGTTAAAAAGAAAGGAGGAAGGTCAAGGACAACATTACGCCGAGAAATAGAGAAAGATATGAAGTGAATGTACCAAAATAGGGAAGAACTGGAAGAGAAAGCTCAGGACAGAGTTGGTCTGAGAAAACTGTTCGGCGGCCTATGCTGTACTGGCGGGCAACAGGCGTAAATAATTAAATAAGTAAGTAAGAAAGTAGTCAACTGATCATTATTGATTATAATCCACTGTATTTTATCACATGAATGAACTCGGAGAGAGTTTTTTTCAAATGAAATTCATTCTGTGTGCATCACTTACTCTAGCGATTGCTTCAAAAAACGATTTCTGTTCATCCAAACTATCATCAGAATTCCTCATGATATCTTTCTTGTATGCCTACAAAATAGATCAAGCAATGAACAGTAAAGAATACTTCATCGAAATAGCTGTTCTAAAACATTCCATAGTCTTGAATAAGCCCTCATCGAAATATTGTATATATATATATATATATATATATATATATATATATATATATATTGTGTTTGGTTTTGCTATCATTTTTCTATCATTTACATTGAAACCATCATGTAAGCAATCAGAATGTTCTGTTGATGAAGTACGAAAAGCTATGCTGTTCGAATAACATATGAACATATATATATATATATATATATATATATATATATATATATATATATATATATATATATATATATATATATATTGTGGTGGTGTTTGATTCTCTGAGCTGGACAAAGAATACTAGGGACATTTTAGAAGCTGTGTCAATCAGGTCAATCAGCAATCAACAAACACATCGTCATTGACCCAATTTATCAACCAATCAGGAAAATCATAGGCGACATAGGATCAAGAAACAGATCAAAATGGGGATACTATCGAAACAAAGGTGCGAACAACGACAGGTTTATGGTCAACAGCAGCAATCAAGACCGAAGTTAGCAGAACAAGCTACAGGTCATGTGTGTGGAGAAATTCGAATGCTTCACTTCTATCTGAAGTTTGTGCTGATGATGTTGCTCAGCAGAAGAACAATGAAAGCTCCACAACCAAAACATCCAGCTCAGAGAACCAAACACCACCATCACCACAATCATCCAACTGAGCTACAAATCTTCTCAACCATCTCAATATACATGAGTTTTATTCATATTGTGATTATTGCAGGCAGCAGATATATTGAATTATATTTGGTGGTCACATGACATCAATCTTTCATTGAACATAAAACAACCACATTACAGTGTGCATTGCATTGTTCTAGAACTCAAAATCCTACTTTTTCAACATATGCACTACCTACAATTAATTCAGTAATATGTTGATTTCTGGCTAACAATCGAAATATATTCTGTCTTCGTTTTATTCATTTTATGATGATTATGTTGATGATGAATATGAAGATTTGTATAATAATATTCAAATTACTATTGGTGAATTATGTCATTTTAACAGTGTCTCTTTGTCCAATTTCTTTGTTTATGTTGAATAGGTTGCTAAAATGACTAGTGAATTGAAGCAAACATTGAGTCAGTCACTGGCATCGAAATCATGGCCGAGTAAAGCGGACAGAAGTAGAGCACTTGAATCGGTTTGTCTAATTTTGTTAAATTATATAAGCATTAACCTGATGCATTATTTAGGTTATGAACATTCAATTTTATTCAGAAAACCTAAATAAATTCCATGTGTTTGTCAAATATGAGTTACCAATTGAAGTAAGTTTTACAAGCTTTTATTAATCGGCAACCTAAAGATGTTTGTGAATTTGATACCGAATTGATTCATTTTGTAAAGATATCGAAATTTAAGTATCAAGTCAATCGGTTCATGGTATGACTGTGAATGGTATGTCTGGTATGTCTGTGAATTATGAATAACAAATTTATATGTATGCATTCAAGTGTTGCCTGATTAAGTTTATTTGACGACAGATTTAGTAAAACGATGTGAACGAGTCAGCCATTTCGAATTCATGATTTGATACAATGGACTAGAGAATAATTATAAAAGATTAGATGTCTAAATAATTGTAAGGAGTGTGGTGATTGAAAAACTAATACGAGACTAGATCAAATAGCACTCCGTCAAGTGGGGATCGCCAAACGAAAACTAATGCTACTACTACTAACAATAGTGATAAGCATAGTTATAAATATCATCAATTTAGCAAATTAGTCAGAAATTGACTGCGATATCTTACTGAATGCACTTCTGACACTGTGATGATTAGCAAAAGTAAGTATTTCTGTCAGTTCATTTATTCACATCGGGATTACAGTCGACTGACTGCCTCATGTGTGGTAATGAAAATGAATAGATGCGAACATTTAAATGATAAAGTGTCTAACTATTCATTTCATCGAACCTATTTTTAATTATGAAAATATTTTATCAAATCATTTCATTCCGTTTCCAGAATGAATTGTCTACGGACAACTACTTAATGAATGTTTACCATTCTCATAAGGCCAACTACATTCAATCAATGCGCAAACTCGCATTGATAAGCGACTAGTAAGTTGTTTGTTTTGTGTTTGTTTGGAATTTCTCCATTAATCTTGAACAAAGAACCTTGTATTAATAGAACAAATACGGATACCCGTAAAATCCAAAACGTTAATTTTAAAACTAGCAATAAACTGAATTACATAATTCATCTTATTTTGTGTTCTATCATGGTGTTCTCTTCTCATTTAAGAAGAAGGTTTCATGAAATTAAAAACAGAAGCGTTGATTTTTGGGCTGTCACCAATGCTTTATAAAACATTATTTATAGAACTCACTGAAATGAATAGTAGTGTATAGCGTCACGGTTAGTGCTGATCATGAGTTGTCATTCAGTTAATGATGAGGAGATTGATAACAAAATGTTGAACCAACTTCTGCGTTATGTAATTCAAATATTCTCTGATTGTTAACCTTATGTAAATGTTTTCAAATCGATCTAGTGATATGTGTAACATACTCAGTGAATGGACTCACATCAAAATTATTCAGATGAGGCACTTTTCCTTGTCACTGTTTGTTTAAAACGGGAATAAACATTAACTGTACTACGTCCATTAATGTTTGTTCTCTATTTACCAATATTTTCTTCAGTGGTGTATTAAAGATGTCTGGACCTGTGAGGTACCCTGAGATTTATTTGGTTGCTGCGTTATACCACCCATCATTTCTCAATGCATCATATTCAGTATCTGAAGAATATGGAATTCTCGGTCGGCCTATTGGTCGTCAACTAATGTCTAACGGTAGCGTTTATGGTATTTTATCTTGCTTAATCTTATTATTAGCAAAACTGAGTATTCTGAATAAATTACGGACAGTCGAGATATTCTTATCTGGTTTCGGTTAACGCATAACTAATAAAATCGTGTTGATTGTGTGTATATGAGGCGTTTCCGTTTAGCTACCAAATCTATCTAAACTGAAACATGTGTTACTTTATAGAATATAGTCGATAGTGATTTAAATGCTAATATCAGTGTTATTTTCCTAGACAGTAGGAGTGCAAATTTGTCATTGTCGTGTAGTTGTGTGCAGATCAACTTTGGTCGATCAATCGAATATTAGGCCGTTTGAATTTTACGTATTTCGTGTCATAAACATTCAAGTAAAATTGGATTAGTGTAGATCAAAGTGCAAATTGAAAATGCTTATTCTGATCAGTTTACCAATCGATGCTGAAAAACCCTAATTGAATGTGTTGAATGAAATGCAAACATAATTAATATGGTTTCGTAGATTGATACAGTCTAACTTGTACTGCTTCAAATCAACGGTTCTGTTTGTTTTACACTATTGTAAACTGTGGAAAATGAATCAACAAGTGTGATATTAATGAGTGGGTGGAGCTTTGAAAACTAACTGATAAGCAAAAATCCTCCTCACTTAACTTTGTACTAATAAGTACGAACACATGTTGTGCAATTGTAACCTGTAGAGCAATTATGAATTAGAACACTCACTTTATGTTTATTTCTGAAAAATAATTATTGGCTTAACGGCGTTTGCATTACAGTTTTTAGTGGTGGTCAGTTAGATGAACAGAAAGATGGTCAGTTAACATGTGAGCCAGGAAATCCATCATCGATTGAAAATCAAATGTGCTGTTTATCTAGACGATATGGCATTCCAAATACTGCAAAGAAAGTAAGTGATCTGTTAAGATGACGTTTTGTCTTTGCATAGTTTGATTATTTCACATTTTTCAGTATTACAATTGTGAAACTTGTTCTTAACGTGTTAATGTTGAAATGACAGGTGGATATATCAGATAATATTCATTCAAAGAATAATATATC